GCTGCTCACACAGGAAAACAGCAATTGTGAGACACACACACACACACACACACACACACACACACACACACACTGACACAATGTGTCTACAGCGTACCATTGCAACACTGCCATTTCTTCAACATAGAGCCATGTTGTGAAAAATCAAATTTCCTCATTACATTTACATCACACTAACTGGCTTGCTGACATAGAGGTACTGTTCTATCATGTGTTAAAGCCTTGTTTAAACCTCCTGTTCTCTCGTCTTTCCAAATATAGGCCTCCTCCCCCTCCCATCATGTGCCGTGTAAGCAAGTGAGGATCAAGTCCTCCCAGTCCACGGGAGATGTTAGCACGGTGTATCAATCCTCCGAGCCCAGGGGGCGCCACCTATCAACTGGTACTTATTTACACCTGTTATTTAGAGTTCTGTCTAATCTTATCTACAACAAGATGGTTCACACACTGAGGAAATGTAGACACATTATGTTTCCCAAACCTCAGCATTTATTTAATATTCAGTTATGGGTATAGCTGGCATGTTGTCGGGCCTTTGCCACTTCTTCTTTACTACCTCGATCTCCCTGTCAGTCGCCTTCTCTCTCTGGCTGTTCTTTCTTTGGCTTCCCCTTTTAGCAATGGGTCCTCTTCCTTTTCCTGTTCACCATCACTAGACGATGCCTACTGGACAGCAGCCAATCAGATTACACAATGCTATTAGTGTGGTGGACCAGTGGCCTGGTTTAGGGTTTTTTCCCCTGGAGTGGGAGGGGGGGTGAAGTGGCTGCAGGAGGGCTTGAGAGCTGGACTTTGACAGCGCCAGGCCATAAATATTAAATCCAGCTCTCAGTCGTTGCTCCTTTCAGTCAGTAAGCAATCACACTTCCATTTGTTGTTTTCTTTATCTTTGTGGCACAGGAGGGAGAGAGGGCCTCGCTGACTATTTTATTTCTTTACAGTGTCACAAAAGTTATTGCATGCATGTGTCTTTGAGTTTGAGTCTCTTTATGTTTGCTTTTGTGCTGCCTCTAAAAAATAAAACTCAACATTGATGATCAGGCCCTGTTAGTTAAGAAAATTATGCAAAGTAGTTTTCCAACAATATCAATTTATGTCCTCATTGCTGCTGAAATTTCCATGTATTTTTCAAATGCTTACTTTCCATATATCTAATGTTTCCTTTATGCCCATAATTGCTGTATAATACCAGGTTCTCAGAACACGGGGCGTAGCTCGCCGCCCCCTGGTTATGTGCCTGAACGCCAGCAGAGGATCGCCCGCCAAGGTTCATACACCAGCATAAACAGCGAGGGGGAGTTCATCCCAGAGACCAGCGATCAGTGTGTGAGTCATCGCTTCACTATTAACGGGGAAAATCCACCTTAAAATACAAATCGTGTGTTTATGAGATTTGATCACATAAACAACTCTTCCTCACTGCTTGAATCAAGACCTTTTCTCATTTTGAAAGTTGTTTTTCTCATTAATAGAAGTTTTATTCACACTTGGAAATGATTTTACCTGATTTTCAGGCATTTGGGGTACATTTTAGGTAAGAATGGTAAGTGTAGGAAGTTACATACAAACAAAGCATTCATTGAGTCCCCAGAGTTATCCATAGCTACAATTACATTGCCAGCGTATAAATATTGTGTTCTTGCTCCCGAAGTTTTTAAATATAAATTCTGTTTAGGGATGGATTTCTCTTTCTGATGTGTGTACCCAGAGCACATGTGGATACACACCCTTAATTTTTCTTTGTGCCCACTATAGGTCCTGGATCCCTGGAGCAGTGCGGAAAACTCTGTCTCTGGAAGTTGTCAGTCTCTGGACAGCAACTCAGAAAGGTAGGGAACAAATTCTGCCTGTTCAAAAATAACACTGATAGTTAATACAGCCTCCAAAAACTCACTACTTATTTCATATTTTATTATCTTTCATTTATTATCTTCCATTACTGCTTCTAATACAATAATTTCTGTTTGCAAAATTTAAATAACTATAACCTGTATGTATGTATGTATGTATGTATGTGTATGTAAACACCGAACGCCTAAGGAAGCTTCTCTCCATTCCTCACTTGTCTTCCTTCCTCCCTTCTTCTCACACAGCCCCTCACTGAGGAAGTCTCGCATGCACAGAGCCAAGAGTTACCCCGATAATCGTCAGGAGTGCTCAGGTGAGAGCAGCTGCAAGAAAAGCTCCTTCCAGCCTGTAACTTTCCCAGTAATCATTGGTAAATATTTGTGTTAAAGCAGCACACTAATTGCATAAAGAATTGTGACAGGCACAATGGTGGAAGATTGTGGCTGTAAGTTGTGAGAGATGCGTTTACAGCAACCAAACACTGCAAAATCAGCCTTATACATTAACACTAGTGTGGCCCAGGCATTTTAAAAGCTGATTTGATAAAGAAATCTCTTGATAGTCGGTGCTTGCTTGTCAGTGACCTCAGAAGTATGAACTACACAGGAGAGTAATAAAGCGGCTGATATGGATGTCGTGTGACTGTGACCGCAGTGTGGTTGAATTACAGAGTAATCCTGCTGAGGTTTGACCTTTGGATATTTGTTTTCAGACAGGGAGAATCATGTGTATGACAGGGTAGCGGGGAAAGGAGGCACCTATCCCCGCAGATACCATGTCTCCCTGCATCATAAGGACCACAGTGAAGGTAAGACAGTTAGTATGTTATACCTAGTTTCTTAAGCTCTCTCTTGTAATATATAATCTCTCTTGTTCATCATGTGATATTAACCTCAGCCGGCCTCTTTTCCTGCTCTCCTTCAGGCCGTCGAACCTTTCCACGGATTCGCCGCCCCCAGGGCAACCTCTTTACTCTGGTGCCCTCACGGAGGTCGCTCAACGGCAGCGAGGAGAGTCTGGGCAGCTGGCAGCTGGTTGATGCTCAGGGAAGGCTCCGTCCCCAAGATCGTTCTGTCGCCCATAAGTGTAAGTGTTGATCTAGAGCAACTCTAAACCAAACATCCTTTAGAAAATACAATTTACTTGTTAGGATGACATAAATTGTTAAGAGATAAACAATTGATACATTGCAGGGTTCAAGGACTAATACCAATGCTTATTTTTTTCAATTGAAGCTGCTGAAATTCATGTAATAAAGGTTTTCAGTACAATTATACTTTTAGAAGGATGAAAGAACCTTGGGAACAATACAGTATTTAAAAGGTGGGTCAGGAAATTTGCTACTAAAACACAGGGTTGTAAAACATTATTCCTATGTAAAATGATTCATATTAGTCATATGATATCAGTTTAGGTTAAAGGAACTAGAATTTGAAATTCATTGCTTTCTTATCCAGAGTCAGAAACTGTAAGAAGACAGATACATTTTGTGCATCCACTACAGAGATAGGTCCACAAAACCTGCAAGCTGGAGGAAACTTTGATTTGCGTTTCACTTTTTCACGTTTCAGCACCCAGTGCTCCCATGACGTGGCGACGGGGGAAGCTTCTGGGCCAGGGAGCGTTCGGTCGGGTTTACCTGTGTTACGATGTGGATACTGGGAGGGAGCTGGCTGCCAAGCAGGTCCAGTTTGATCCTGAGAGTCCTGAGACCAGCAAGGTGAGACACTAAGATGGATAGTCCAGCTTCTCACGTCTTCACAGAAACAGAATGCTTGGTTGTCTTGTTCCTTCCTCTTTTCTCTTTCTGGTACTGTTGAGAACATTTCCACTGTTGTTTATGGCATGCTACCTCTTGTTACTGCTTCAGCTGTAAAGAAATATTGTTTGCTTTGCTGACATTGCATGTGCATGTAGACATTTTTGCTACCCCTGGTTGCACATTAAAAATGCAGGAAACTGTGCCATTTCCTCCTCACTTTTACAATATAACTTGTGAATGGTAACAGTGTTCTGTAAAATATAAACTTAGTTTTATTATTAATTATTACTGTAAAAGTGCCAAGAATGACCTCATATGCAGCGCCTGTTGATGTTTTCAGGCTATGCTGGAATGCAGGTAGTTGGCATAACTGAATCAAGTATCTTAAAGACATATATGCTCTTAGTTCAGGAGTTGATCCACGAAAACTTTATTTCATTCCCTGGACACAGAAATAAAATCATAAATCAGGAAGGAAATTTAATAATTCAAGAAGCGGAATATATGGAAGAGGCTTTCTTTCCTCCTTCAGACCCTCTTCCCCATTTTAATGTCTTTTCCTGTCTTCAACAGAGAAAACATGCACTGTCACTTCCTGTATCAGAAAGAAGCAGAGGGTTGTGGGAGGAGGCGAGGAGCGGTGGTGGTGAGGGGTGATGGGTCAGCACTGCCTTCACACTCCCACTCCCAGCTTTTAGCAGATGTGAATCAGTTGTTTCTATTAAACCAGCTTCTGTGGTGGGACTTGGGGATTAATTACTTTGTGCGATCTTGACTCACTCACTCTCTCTCTCTCTC